TTTTTTTGTGTAAAGTAAAAACTTATAATTTAATTTGCATTCCCACCGAAAGCTTGAAATGCAAAATTTGTTGCCATCACATAATTTACCTATTGTTTACACAATACGGTCGGTAATGATATGTAGGAAGTGGTAGAACGAGGTTTTCTAGTCTCTCCATTGGCTATGACTTTACAAAGTATGAATCCATCATATGGAACAAGGTGTTTGCGGATGGTATTTACATTAAATAATATTTATAAAACCAACGGATTGATTTGTAATCCTTTTTTTAATTTTTGACAGCCAAATGCTCTAAAAAAACGCCATTATATTTTTGGTTTATCTAAAAAATCCTTAGTTCTTCCAGCAAGTTAAAACAAATTGACGTGTGACTATGTATGTACATAATTCTGAAGTGATTGCGTAGAAATTTTCAGTTGACTATTTTATAAATTTACGTTTGAATGGTAAAGTAGAAAAAGATTGAATTTTAACTTTTTCTCATTAAAAATTTGAAAAAAGTTAACCCTGTGGAGATTTATGATGTTAAAAATACGTGGACATTCGTCAGCTGTGAACTGTCACTCTTGCTCAGGGTCCAGGATTTCTGTCAGCCATCTCAAATACACATAATCATTAAGCGAACAAAATATCAAAATTTTTGGAAAATCCATTATATCTCAAAAAATTGACATATCTCAATACCTTTTTCGTTTTTCAGAGTTTCTATCGCCAAAAATAATGTATTAGACCTGACGGATGGGGGTGCGAAATACCCGCAGTAGGAGTATTTGTGGTAAGAGTCCACTAAAATCTCGTACAAATCCAAAAGCGCCTGATCCAGAATGGACGGCTATCTGGTCTGCGACCGATTTCTGAGGGACGACGGAAATTGGGCGTGTGCCTTGCACGGAGTATTTCCTTCCAAAGGCTAGGAGAAGTAAACTCCGAAATAAATCAAAATCAATGAAAAGAACAAAACAAAAAAATTTTATACCCCAGGTGGTAATCCAGCAAACTGGAAAATCCACACTCTTCGGAAGCTGGTCTCACGGATTCTGGGGGAGACCACTTATTGCATCAAAACACCTACTACCGATCCTTTTAAAAGAACACCCTGGGTCATGCGGACACTAAAATGTGGTAAAAGCAAAGAAAATATGTCCAAAGGCGACAAACAGTTGCAGTTAATGAAATAACTAAATATGGATGGCGACAATATGGGTGCAGTTACAGAAATAAAAGATCAGAAAATTGATAACTGCCACTTAAATATAAGAATAAGTGAGCTAGAAGCGTTTTGTAAAGAATTAAAAAATGAAATCCAGTATCTCAGAGAGGAAAATAATAAGCTAAAATTGGAATCAAGCAATGTAAACACAACAAAGGAAATAAATACGTAAAAAGTTACGACAAACAAAGTGGAATACTGCACAGATGAGAAGGATCTGGCTCGGGAAACCGATTGGATTCGCAAGAGAAAAAGCAAAAAGCGAAGAGCAGATATGTCACCTCCTGTTATATTAAGCATTGTGAAGGAATATCCAAAAATAAAGAAGATGCTCAAACTTTATGGTCAATATGATGCATAATAATCATCTTAAAATCAATGTTGATCAAGAACAAGATTACAGAGAATTAACAAAAAAAAATAAATGAACCTAAAGTAGAGTGGCACACCTACGAAAATAAAATGACATGATCCATCAAGATGATGACTAGAGGCTTGCATCCTTAATGCCGATCTAAAGATATTAAAAATGAGTTAAAAGAGAGTGTTTAAAGTTCTTAAAGTCGTTAATAAAATTACAAAGCAGAATAAAAAAAATAAGATCACTATAATCCGACTTCCTCTCCTCATGTTAATCTTTGAAAATTCGGAGGACATAAATAAAATTTACAAAATAGATGTAATTCAGCACATGAAGATTAAAATTGAGTCACTAAGGAGGAATAATTTAATTCTTCAATGCAGAACGTGTCAGAGATATGAGCACACACAGAGATTTTGCCAGCGTCTACCTCAGTGTGTAAAGTGTGCTGCTCCTCATTTAACGATAAATTGTAGTAAGCAAATCCAAGCTCCAAAGTGTGCAAATTGTTTTGAGGCACACCCTGCGAATTACAGGGATTCTATAGTCGCAAAGGAATTATAAAAAAAGAAAAATAACCTTACAAAACATAAATACATAAAAATCATACCAAAAAATACTCCCAAAACTCCAAAAACCCCAAAAACAACTACATTGAGTAAAAGAGTGCAGGAAATACAATATGCCCAAGTGGCGAGGGCTGAACCTGCTGAAAGCAACATCACCTCAAAAACCTGCTGAAAGCAACATAAATATAATGCAAATGATGCAAAATATGATAAAAACTATGAACGAAATCTCATTAAGATTGAACAGTTAAAGTTAAGAACAGTTAAGCATAATAATGTTTATGTATGTAGGCTGAAAAGACTAAAAAATAATGGACGAAAACAAAAAAAGAATTGCGACGTGGAACGCAAATGGCGTTCTCAATAAAAAGCGTATATTAGAAATATTCTTTAGGACCCAAAATATTGATATATGTTTAGTAACGAAGACGCATTTAAAATAGCAAACAGATATAAAAATAAATGGTTACATAGAAAATAAAGCGGTACATCCTAATAAAGAATCAGAAGATGGTTGCGCAATTTTGATAAGGAATAATATAAAACATAATGAAATAAGTAAAGTAGAAAGAGACGATAGTCAATTTGTTGCTGTATGAATAGAGTCTTAATATATAAGAAATAAAATTTCGATGTTGGTGTACTTTACTGTCCTTCGGGACTTGTTATAAAGAGTGATTCATTCAAAGATCTCCTGAATCTCCTTAAAGAGAGGTTTATTCTAGGAGGTGAGCCGGAAATATTGATTGGGGTTCTAGATTGATCTTAACAAGAGGAAGAGAGCTAAGAAAAGCTATTAAAGAAATTGATTGTCACCAAAATATTGGTACTGGTAGACCAAGTGATAGAAATAAAATACCAGATCTGCTAGACTTTTTTATTATCAAGAAAATCTCACCAAATTTCATTAGTTAAGAAGATAACTATGATTTGGATTCGGATCATTCTACAGTTATATTAGACTTAACTGAGACAATTACCAAGAAACAAAATAAGCCCATGTCGATAAATCCACTGACTGGTCTAGTTTTAAAGAAGAGATAAGAATTAAATAAAATTAAGAATTAAGATGATTTAGATTCTGAGATATAGTGAATTTTAATAAAAGCCCGAGAGAAATACTGAATATGATAAACGAAAACAGAAGAGCTAGATAGTAAAACTCACGAGATACGATAGTAAAACTCAAGAGCTAGATAGTAAAACTCACGAGCGGATAAAACTGCACTCAATCGACTCACTCAGAATCTAAAAGGAAGAATAAGAAAGATCAAAGAAGATTCATTTGATAATTAGATTAAAAATATGTCAGCTGAACAAGAAAGTAATTGTTCCTTATGGAGGGCGGCAAAAAAATTAAAAAGCCAATCTTATATGTCCCCGTTATTAGGGGAACATCTTGAACAAATTTTTCAGCCAAATGACATACACTCAAACATAAATATTGTGAGAGCAGAAAACGTTATCGTTCCATTTGCATAAAGAGAAATAGTCGAAGAAATAAAAAGTTTAAAGTCAAGGAAAGCACCGAGTTATGATTTAATTACATCTGACATACTGAAGCAATTACCAAAAAGGGTATAACAATGTTGACTTTTTTAATGAATTCTGAATTAAGGTTAAAATATGTGCCTAATGCTTGGAAGGTGGCAGAAGTTATAATGATATCAAAACCTAGCAAACATTTAAATGAGACCAAGTTTTATAGACCAATCTCTCTGCTACCAATTTTTTCGAAATTTTTTGAAAAGTTATTACTAAAAAGAATGGGACCCATAATTGAGGAGAGGTCATTAATTCCGAACCACTAATTTGGGTTTAGAGTAGGACATTCAACTACTGATCAAATTCATAGAATTAAAAATATTATTGAGCAAGCCCTAGAGGAATAGCAAATTTGTGTAACAATTTTTGTAGACGTGGCATATGTTTTTGACAAGGTTTGGCACGAAAGATTAATATACAAGTTAGAAAAAATATTACCAAAGCAATATGTGTATATTCTCTCTTCTTATTTAACCGACAGATTAATTAGAGTCAAACAGGAGGGGGACTATTCCACACTTAGAGAAATAAGAGCAGGTGTGCCTCAGGGCAGTTTTTTGGATCCAATACTATATCTACTCTCTACAAGAGATGTGTCTCAAATAGCAACCACAATTGTGGTTACATATGCTGACGATACTGGAATAAAGGCAGTAGCACAACTGACGACGCCACAAGAAAATTGCAGCAGTCAAGCAAAAGTTTTGATACTTGGAAATGGAAAATAAAAGTAAATGAACTAAGTTTGCACAAGTAAATTCTACAAATAAAGTTCTTCTAAACCCCTAGAGTAACGAAAGGGCGGTGAGACATAGAGCTCGTCTGGGGCAACATGTCAATATAGAGAAGACTTTGCCTTCTGATTTAGCGCAAAATGCGTTTCACAAAATTGAGGAACGTTCAATCTATATTAAAGAAAATTTTATGGTTTTATTTCATTTGATTTTATCATCTCAAAGTTTCAAAGTTTTTGGAATTTAAAAAACACAAATGAACAATTTTGAAAATTTAACGATTCAGATTATATGAATGGATTTTAGATTTTTTTATGAAGATTAATTATATTTAAAATAAATTATTATATATGCTAAAAAAACGTCCAATATTGATTTGTTTTTATCGTGCATTGAGAAATAAACATTAAGTTATCAAAACATCAAGACTGTTTATCTACGCTAAAACAAATTTTGTGTATCACTAATTTTTGTCTTTCAAAAAAATAGATAACTTTTAATTCTGTAACAACTGTATATTATATTTGTTTTGCATTTGAAATATATGAGTTGGTTAGAGCAAAAAGTTAAAAACTTACATTTAAGAGAGCAAATTGTTATAATCAAAGCACCTGCAGATATACCATATTTTCTTGTTATATGTTGAGAGTCTGCTGTAAGAGCGGAAATAAATATGAGCGGATATAAAACATTCCTTTCCAAAAAACACAAGCACACATAAATTGCTTCAAACCACATAACTTTTGCAGCTTTTGAGACTTCAAATTGACCGAACTCTTTTTGTTTCAACAGAGGGCTAGCAAAACATAGCCATGGCATATGTTTGCGCATTTGAGGTAATACCTAAAAATTAATTACTTTAACCTTTTCTTAGATAAGTGTGTTATCATATTATAATATACATAATGTAATATGAATCCTAAAATGACGGCCATTGTATAAAGGACTATATTTAGGTCAGGTTGCAATACAGTAAACACAGTGCTACTATGAAGGCTTAACATCGATATTACAAGAATTGTGCATATTACTAAGTCATTTTTAAGTCGACTATTTACAGTTGTTTGTAATTTTTTTGGTAATGGATCAGATTGTTCCATATCTAATCCATTGAGAGCATTACTCGATTCGATAGTCTCTGTTGACAACTCGTTTTCCTCTCCTACATTGTTAACAACTTTATCTTCATTTATCTCCAACTTCGATTTTATACTGCATGTTGCTTTTGCCAGTTTTGCCATATTGTCGATTTCAGCTATTTTAAGAGTTTCCGTATTTTTATCCGTTGAAGAGTTTCCATATTTTCCGTTATGCATATCAGAACCAGATGAAGAAACTACAGCATTCTGAAATTTTTTTTTTACATATATGTACCTATATGAATTTTCTTAAAAGATTTTAAGGAATAGCAGATTTAATTTTAGTTGGAAGCATAATGCTACCATATACTACAAAAACTAGTATCCTTAGTTACCTTAGTTAAAGTGCCGTTTATTAGTTCATTATTCGATTTTTCATTTTCCTCTACACAACTTTTATTCTTTAGACTTTTTTTCGATATAATTTTGTATGCGTCTTCATTGTTATCACTTTCTTCCTCATCATCAGGTAAAGTATTAGCTAAACTGAATTTTATTAATGCCCAAATATGACTAAAATCACTTGCCGAACGTGACAAATGATATGCAACGGAAATCAACAACGAACAAAAGAACGAAAACAAAAGATGTTGAGTTCCTTTTTCTTCACTTAATCCGCCAAAAGCTGGGCCATATAAAATACCCACAGCAATTAGAGACTTCATTATACAAATAACTGATGATAACAAAGAACAAACTGCATTGCCCCCAAAAATATGCATATCTATTTGCTCTAAAAGATACATACTAAATGTATTAACTTGAGGAAACAAACCCAAAGAAAAGAAAATCGGAAATAATAAAATGATATTTGACAGGAAATTTATTATTCCCTCGATAATATGTTTTAACGTGAAAGTTACACCAAAAAATTCTATTTTGTTTATTAAATGATTCAAGTTTTGGGTATTGACATCTTCTTTTAACTCCATTTGTAATTGAAAAGAAAATACTAGTAGCAACGAGCATATACAAAAGTAAATCGGTCTTGAATATGAAACTGTTTTGTTAAATCCATGAATAGGTGAGGCTGCATCCGGTTGTACACTTTTTAATAAAGAATATTGGCTTCCTGCTATAACAATGCAAAAACAAAAAGCGAAAATATCTTTATAAAGCCCAAGTTGCAAAATATACGATCCTAAAAAGCATGTTAAACTTGATAATGAAATAGCTAATATTACGTGAAACCAATTTAAATCTCGGTCAAACAAAGCTAAAAGTTGTAAGCGATCCATTGTAATTTTTAGTTCACGTCTACCCAAAAATTTCCACCGATACTTGTAAAATTTTTTGGGATGAATGGGTTTTTCAGTAGACAAACGGCAAGACCTCCAATAATCACAGTAAATAGAATCATTAATTTCAACATTAAGCATTGCTCCTGTGGAAGGTTGAAGTAAATTCCGATGTCTAGAATGGTGTTGATCAACTGCTCCAGAAGCCAAAGAATTTTCAAAAGGATACTGTTCATTAATTAAACCTTGAATAGATAAAGATGCAGACGCTTCATGTTGTTGTTGCATGTTATTACGAGCAAAATTTAAACTATCATCTAGTTTGGAAGTGTTATTAGAACCTAAAGTATCCTTTCCGCTTCCTACACAAGCAGTGTTGGCAATGTTGTCAGAGTCAACAATATTAACTCTATGTTTCAATCGAAAATTTCCTAAATTTTCATTTAAATTCCGCCGCGTTAAAGCTGTTTGATAAACTGAACCACACAATCCATTCTGATGTAACGGATGTAACATAGAACTTTGCTGAGAGACATCCTGCCCAAAAATAAAAGAGTATCGATCCTTATAAGTTCTATACGCATCATTTGTAAAGCTTTCCGCGCTAAAACTACGGGATGAGGCAGAGGACGATGTTCTACTCATAGGTTTAGATGCTGAGCGTTTATTAGGCAGAGCGTTCATACCAGTTATTCCACCAACTGGAACATCCATTCCAGAAACTATAGGGATTTCACTGCTACGTCGAAGACATGTTTTTGGAATCGCACCTAAAAATAAATAAAAAATTTTGGTAATTTAAACTCAATTTAATAATTAAAAAATGTATGTAGTTCTTGGCGTGTATTTTTTTTGCCAACTTGTGGTTATATTTTACATGTGTATGATATTCACTTCCTTTTTTCTGTTATGCATCGAGTGATTGGTAATTCTAAATTTGTTAATTTTTCCATTATTTTTTTTAAGAGATGCGCAGGCATTTAAAATTTAGTAAAAAATTTTGACTAAAATCATTTTTCGAATTCAAATTAATATGTTATTGAATATTGTGGGGCGAAATAAGTTGCAAGAGTTTTTTTTAAATTTTTTGTTATTTTACATGGTGCTTGACGAAAGTGTTCGAAAAGTGCTTTTCAACGATAGATGAAGAAAAAAAAGACTGTTATAATTTTTTAGTTAAAAAAAAAAGACCGTTTTTAGACCCTAAAAAATCGAATTCTAATTTATATATAAAATACAATTTCAACAATGTAAATCAACATAATGAAAATAAAATAACATAATATATTTATATATGTTTCCACATTTAGGCAGAGAACTATCCATACATATGTATGTAATAAATACTTGAAATATTAAAAAATGTATGAAATATCAAAATATTTATGTAAATATGCGCGAATAGAAAGCATATTATTAAAAATAAAGGCTTCTACTAAAAAAACTATTCTGTATTTACATTATAAAACGTGCGCAAAAATAAAAAAAAAAATTATTTCATAATCTAAAAACTGGAAAATCTACAGGATTTATATAAAGAAGGATACAATACAGGATATAAATTTACATAATGAACTAGTTTTTAAACATTTTTGCAGTAACGTCACAAAACATCCAAATAAGTAAATTTAGAAAGTCTCAGTCTCAAATAAAAATTTTATTTTCCTCTAAAATATATTATTTAAAAAGTAATTACAAAGTAAATACGTGGGCATTAGGGCACGGATAAGTGCGCACTACGAGTATCGGGGATTTTAAATTTCTTTTAATAATTTTATTTTTTTCACTAGTAGTCAGGGTTTTCAAATTTTTATCGCACATATTCAATATTTTTTATTAAGTTTATTCTTTTGCAAATATGTACACTTGATTCAATATGACTTGATATTGATATGACGAATAGAGTGTGTTCACCTACTAAGAAAGAAAAAAGATTGGCAAATTCGTAGAAGAAGTATCAAAAATATATCTCTAAAAAAAAAAATGAACTTAAACGAATAAAAATTCATATAAAAAAATTTTTAGTGATGAAATTTTTGTGCAATTATATGATATTGCCCACTTATGCGTATTGCACTTACCCGAGCTAATTCATAAGGACTATATACGAATAGTACATGGGTATTAAAATGTGGTTTACTTTGGAGAGTTTTGGATTAATCCGAGTCGCAATTAAGTGTGTTCTACTGACTTTAGGTAATGTCTTCATATCTAACAAGTCCCAATACTAATTTTTTTTACGAAATATTACGAATTGTTGCTTTTATTCCTGTTTTTTTCTTTAAATGCCACTGATCGTGTCATATTTCTTATTATTTTTTTCGTTTTTTACGTAAAAAAGAGTTTAATATTTTAAAAAATCTCAGGATATTATACATGTTTTTTAAAAAGCTTCCCATTTAAATTATATTGCACGAAAGGAAAGAAAAAATGAAAAAAAATTTCAAATTCATATTTCATGGAATGGTTTCAAACGTTAATGAAGAAGGACGTGTGATTTTTTATGTGCATTTTGTATTTCCCAATAAGGTAAGTTGAGAAGTGTCGGCTAATAAAAATGTAAATAAAAGTAATATAGGTTGACACATTTCAGCAATTTGAGTTATACGTTACTTATAGAATTGTTTCAAATAATTTCAATTAGTTTTTGAGTTATTAAAAATAAAAATGTATGTACATTCTTCCAATAAATTTTTTTTTTAAATATATATTTTAAAACTATTTCAAACATGTTATATTAAATACTTCAAAAATTTTGTTGTGCTCTTCTTTCATATTGTATTGCCTGAGTATGAATCTTAATAGTAAACGCAAACCGATAAAAAATTTACATCTACCTGTCACTTTACAATCTGAATTTTTGAGTCATTTGCGAAGATACTATTTATTTCAAAAATAAAAAAGATATTCGAATCCGGTCATAAAAATATATTATTGTCTTTTCCAAAACCTTTTAAATATTTTTTTACTTAGGTAATATATTAAGTTTTAAAAATTTTTCTCAAATAAAAATAGAGGTGAAATTTAGAAGTGTACATATATAAAATTTGTATTGAAAAAATAATATTTAATTGTATTTTAGATATTATTTTCTAATTCCCTCTTGAAATTTTTTCTTTTCTATGTATTCATATAAATATTTAATAATTATCTTTTCATTAATTATATTTTCAACTTCAAACTACAGATTACTTCCCATATCTTGAGTTAACTTACCCTATGAGAAAAAAAAGCTGTTAACTTAAAAATAAGGATATGCTTTTAGTTGAAGGCGAAGGTTGTGCTTGTTGTTTTTCCGCTTTTTGAATTGATTTTTTAAATATATTTTCGAAAATTTATCTGCTTTATAATAAGTGTTAATTTATTTTAATATTTCTTCTCAAAAAATAGCCACTTCGATTTAAAAAAACCCATATAAAATAAGGTCGTGCTTTCAAGTTTCTCTCTTAGCATTGGGACTTGTTAGATATAAAAACATTACTTTAGTTTAAGCAACTTGAAACACAAAATTTATTCATTGATTTGCATTAGAAGTGGAGAACTATTGATTACAGTATCGATACTATCGATAGTTTTCAACTATCGAAACTATCGATGGTTTTAAAGTCGATATAATACTATCGTCAATATGGTAAATTTACCAAACTCTAAGCATATATTCCTTTTATTACAAAACTTTACTGAAAACATGTTTATATCTAAGAATTGGGTATTTTAAATAATTAATTAAGTGCTAACTTAGAATTAAAACAAAATATCTTCGACAAGCCAAAACATTAAAATCTACCAAAATAAGATGTTTGGATAAAAAAAGTATTTTCGAAAATCGTAACATGTTTAAAGATCTAAAGCTTTGTTAAAACTTTGTTTATAACTGCAAAATTATTCCATGTTTGAAAAAAATCATAGTATAGAAATAATAATTTGTTGCTATTGGTTATTATTTTGTGTGTTCTACTGACTTTAGATAATGTCTTTATATCTCCCAATACTCATGTCAATGATATTAGTTATATTACTATACATAATATAACTAATATCATTCAACCAATAAATCTACAAAAGTAAAATTATTAATTACTAAAGACCAACTATAATTACGCAAAAATTATTTTTAAGATTTTAGTTAGAAGAGCCTAAAACGGAGCAATTGTTCATGCCTTTAATTGTTTATTTCTCTTATAATATACGAAAGAAAATAAAAATAATTAAACAAACGAAAAGGATCTACTTCTTCAATAGTTTTTTTCAAACTAAAAAATAATTTCAATAGAAAATGAATTGAAGAAAATACGAATTATATCGAAGTTGACCCAGTGTCGGATTATTCGATAAGCGATGAGGGGACCCAAGCTTTTAGGGGCCCGAAAAAATTCTGTGAATTGTTCTAGTGCCAAGGAAATTTGTTTTTAAACAAATCTTTTAAATTTTTGAATTTGCATTTGCATAGTCGGTCTATTTTTGTTTTGCATATTTGGGGTTCCTGGGCAAGTACTTACTCTACCTCCTCGTGAATGCCCCTGGCAAGTTTTCTTCCAGCACCCATTGGCAGAACTGGCCGAAACTGTAAGCGCGAACTTTGGCCCCGGTTTGGGTTGGCGTAAGGTTAACTACCTTACCTGTAAAACTCGTCAGTTATGGGAGATTTAAGTGAAGCCTCGGATAGACTGGTTGGATCTTATGGTAACAGACACGGCAAATGTATCAAGGACTATGATTTACGGATTTGCACCTGGAATATAGGAACACTCTACACACCAGGTGCATCTAACAATTTGGAAAACATTCTCGTGCAGTATAAGGCAGACATTACTGCAATACAAGTAATACGTTGGATAGGATCTGGAATTTTAAAGAAAAAGAAATGCGATATTTATTACAGCTGCCACAAAAAACATCACACATTGGGATGCGGATTCGTAGTTGGTGACAGGCTTAGACGTAACGTCATCGGGTTTAAGCCAATCAATGAGCGTTTGGCCGTTATCCGCATCAGGGCCAAATTTTATAACATCAGCCTAATATGCGCACATTCCCCAACCAATGAGGCAGAGGATTCCGCCAAGGAGAATTTCCATGATGTTCTCTACAAAACTTATGGAGCCTGCCCACGATATGATGCAAAAATCTTGTTGGGGGATTTCATTTAGAAGATTGGTCAAAAGCAAATATTTGGAAAAATTATCGGCACCCATAGTCTTCACCACACCACGAACGACGATGGGTTCCGCCTGATCGATCTGGCGGCTTCTTGCAACATGGTCATAAGTAGCACGTATTTTGCACACAGAGATATCCACAAGGCGACCTGGCTGGCGCCGGATGGTCGCACAACCAATCAGATCGACCATATTCTTATCGACGCTCGTCACTGCTCGAGTGTTTTGGATGTGCGTACGTATAGGGGGGCAAATATCGACTCTGGCCACTTTTTAGTTGCAACCAGGTTCAGAGCTCGAATATGCAATGCTAGAAAACTGCATACTGCGACAACGCGGAAATTCAACATTGGAAATTTGCAATCCACCGAGCTAGCCGGAGCCTTTAGAGACCGTCTTTGCGAGAAAATTAATTCCGCGCCTCTTGTTTTTACGTCCGTTAATGAACAATGGAAACAGTACGCAGACATCATGAAGGGGGTGGCTAGTGATACCTTGGGTTATAAACCACCGTTTTCAAGGAACCCTTGGTATGATGATGAATGTTCGAGGTTGACGGCGGAAAAAATGAGACATACAGAAAACCGCTGCAACGGAAAACTAGGGCACAAGAGGAATATAAGGCAAAGAGACGAGAAGAAAAGAGGGTCCTTAGGAGAAAAAAACGGGACCACGCGAAATCTCAGCTCTTGGATATAGAGAAACATAGAGACAAAGCGGAAGTAAGGAGCTTTTATAGAAAAACAAAACAGCTCTCAGCTGGATTCAAGCCCTACACATGTGCTCCGGACCATGGTGCGGGAAATTTGGTGACCGATGAGGAAGGGATATTGCGGGCGTGGAAGCAGCATTTCGAGCGGCTGCTGAATTCGGAAAACACCGAAAGCGATGCATCCACAAGAAACACTTCTGTTAACAACGAAGAGGTAATTTCACCTAGCCTCGAAAAAGTTAACAACGCCATTCAAAAGCTCAAGAACAATAAGGCGGCTGGTTCTGATGGCCTGTTCAAAGCTGGGGGTGATGTACTGGTTAGGAGCATGCACCAGATCATATACCGCATTTGGATGGAGGAAAGCATGCCCGACGAAGGGGGTGTTAGCATCATGAGGCCAATCCACAAGAAAGGTGACACCAAGTCCTGCAATAACTATCGTGGAATATCCCTAATAAATATCGGATACAAGATTCTATCCAACGTATTGTGCGAACGACTAAAACCACTCTGTAACAACGTGATAGGAAACTATCAATGTGGTTTTAGACCTGGAAAATCTAATACCGACCAGATCTTCGCACTTCGTCAAATCCTGGAGAAGACCCACGAATTTCAAATCGATACTCACCACCTATTTATCAATTTTAAATCTGGCTATGACAGCATACACCGCGCCGCACTATATGAGGCGATGGCAAAATTTGGGTTCCCGAGCAAAATTATTCGCTTGTCTCGGATGACACTAGAAAATACTAGATGTTCGGTGGCAATCGGGAAAAATACATCGGAAGTATTTCGGACGCGTTCCGGTTTTCGCCAGGGGGACGCGCTGTCATGCGACTTTTTCAATCTTGTGCTGGAACAAATAGTGCGGGTGTTAACACCGAAGGCACTATCTTCTTTAAATCCGTGCAGCTATTGGGTTTTGCTGACGACATCGACATAGTCGCTCGCTCGCGACGAGCGGTCATCGAAGCCTTTACAAAGATTGATCAGGAAGCAAAAAAAGTGGGTCTGAATGTTAACGAGACCAAGACAAAGTATATGCTGTCAACCATCAAGGCGACCGCTGTCCATCATATTGGTCAAAACATCACGGTTGATCCATATAATTTTGAGGTAGTTAAGGAGTTCATCTACCTGGGAACTAATGTAAATTTCGCTAATGACATCAGTGTGGAGGTGCGACGTAGAATAACCCTGGCAAATCGCTGCTACTTCGGTTTGCGAAAACAACTGGGTTCAAAACTCCTATCCAGCAACACTAAGCTGCAGAGCTCGTTCTTCCGGTCTTATTTTATGGCTCGAAAGCTTGGACACTGTCTAGGACAAGTGAGCAATGCCTTGGTGTTTTTGAGCGAAAAATTCTTCGTCGCATATTTGGTCCTGTGAATGAGCAGGGGATCTAAGATATAACGCCGAAATCTACAAGCTGTATCAGGACATTGATGTAGTCAGCAAAATCAAGATCAAGCTACACTGGTTGGGCTACATTGCACAAATGTCCGAAAGCGCCCCAGCAAGGAGATCGTTGGAGAGATCGTTGGAGTAGGCCGCATCTTCGTTGGAGAGACGAAACTTCGGCGGATTTGGAAAGACTTCGTGTCTCCAATTGGAGAAGAGCCGCCCAGGACCGCGGCGGATGGAAAAAAGTTATAAGTTAGGCTCAGGACCTCCATGGTCTGTAAGGCCTAGTAAGTAAGTAAGTAAGATATCGAGTCTATGACAGGTAAGTTTTACGAAATCATTTTTGCTGCATTGGAATTGTTTATTCCAGTATTGAAAACTAAAGATACTGGCTTACGCAAAAATGTATATTTGGCCCGTAGTTAACGCTCAGTTCTTGACGCCTGATTTCTTCCAAAAGTTCAAGCGAAGCTTATATATGAAGTTTCAAGTAAATCGGTTGAATATTGTCTTCATAATGATCAAAAATGTAAAACAAGCCCGCTAAAAAGTACAATTCCCGAGGCCTGATATGTCCCAAAAGTTGATCAATCCGTGCCATGGCCGAAATAAATTTACATATAAAATTTAATCAAAATCGGTTCAGCCGAACTTAAGATACACCCGTGCACACACAAACCGACAGACCGATAGGTTGCTAAAAATTGTTTATTTACAGTTCCCTACTATGGAGAAGTGCATTCCCACCGAAAACGCGATATGCAAAATTTGTTGCCATCACATAACCTATCTATACAATACGGTCGGTAAAAAACTAATTATTGTTACAGTAAGTAAAAATGCAAAGATATCAAAGTTCTATCCTGAAACGTGTCAAAAATTACTAAGAAACATTATGGGAGAAGACAGATTAAATGATATGGCGATTTTATACATAGAAAAAGATATTTTAAGCGAAATTAATACAGATAAAATAATTGATGAATTCGCTGAAAATATAACGAGAAGAAAGTTTATATAAAAAATTATTATTTTATTTATTTCCTAGTTTCTTTAGTTTAACTCTCTAAAGGTACGTTTCAACCGTAAATGAAATAAGGTTCAAGTAAATCGGTTTGTCAAGTTTGTGTATTATTTTGTTATCAATTTTTCAATAATTTTACCACGTGAATCAACTTTTAATAAATTTTATGCAAAATAATTTGATATGGAAGTAAATTTTTTATTTAAAAAGACCAAAATTTCAATAAAGTCTTTTTTACATACCCATTTTTTTATATTTTTTGAAATCTCTAAATGTGAGTTGATAAATCCGTAAAATTATTATGTTCATCTGATACACGAAAACTATTTTATTTTTTTTGTAATTTAAGGGCCCAGATATTTTTGCCGCTTACGGCCACCACTTCGTTTGACCCACCCGATCATTTGATTTGAAAAATTTTTTAAAATTTCATTTTATTTGTAAAAATAGTGATCCAAAACATAACTTGTAAAATTGTAAGAATTTTTTACAATGAATTGTTTAGGATTCAGGTAAAATAAATTTGTCTTGATGCGAAATGTAAACTGTAATAAACTTTGTTTTAAGACGATTTGGATGTCACAGCTTATTGTTGTTATGTATTAGGTTTGTGTTTTTGTGCACGAAAATAAAAGAAATCATAAAATTAAAAATTAATTTTCTAGAATTTCTCTTTCTTGTTCTATTTTGCTGTTTTAGTTTTTGTGTATACATATGTATATATGCATGTATATACAAAAATATACAACTACATTTTTTGATTTTTACGGGTATCTATGTCCTTTTTCTCTCTCTATAAAAGCTAAAAATACAAAATTATTTTTAAGATAAAATAAATACCTAGACTTTTTGCATCTTTCAAACATAAATTTTCAATGTCTGCTTCTTCTTGAGCTATATTCAAACCCCTTAACATTTCGGAGTCGTCATTTGATGTTATTGATTTTCCACTTTTCGTAACTTCATAGCCACTTTTTCTGTAAAACGATTCCTCATTTTCTAATAACATATCTTTAGAATTTGAATTCATTTCTTCTTGGTCACAAGATGTGCAAGGCGATTGAACACACGTAAAATTTTTATTTCTTTTTGCATTTTTAAAAAATTTTTTATTGTCAAGCTGAATAAAATTTGGTTGTTCTAAATCAGACAATTTCGACTTACAAATGTCGTTTATATTTTGGTTTAATAAAGGTGATCTTGATCCGTTATTATCAGTTTCGGAGTCAGTGGATTGAGCTCTCGGTTTTTCAATTTCAGATTCAGATTCAGTAGTATTTGTAAATTGCTTTACTTCTGAAGAATTAATATAATTATCACAACCATCACATTCGCTTCTGTGCGAGTAGGAGTGATTATTGTTATCATTTTTGGCGCTGCGATGAGATACGCCGCTTTCTTGGTGGGCTTCATTTTGATTGTCGATGTAATAATCTACATTATTTTTATTTGACATAATTGTTTCATTATTATCAGTACTTTCTTGGTTTAGTCTTTCTGTTGTACGCTCCAACAAATTTTTATCCTTATACTTATTTGATGACAAAGATGAAACCAATAAGCAATGCTGATCATTTTCGTTGATTTTTTCTACTTGCTCAGCAATAGGGTAAACATTAGCTTCAGAATTTCTAGCATAATCAGTAGAATATTCCTTGCAACAAGCTGCCGAATCAGAGCCGATATTCAAATTAATATTTTCCATGTGTTCCCCAAAATTTGAACAAAATATTAGATGGTGATTTCGCACAAGACACTTGCTGGGAGGAGGTAACAATGGAGGGTTCGAAGATTTAAAATGTTGTCCAACTATAGCCTCAGTACTATTGGGGTGTAGCGTAAGATTTAATACTGAAGGTTGGGGAAAACCTACATCTAAAGCAGTACTTTTGATTCGCCGCACATTACTTGTTTGTGAAACTTCAGAACTTATAGCACCTGAAATAATAACAACATAAAATTAAAAATTTTAAACTTGCATTAGTGTTACAAAAACTATAAATTAAAGATTAAATAATTGTATAAATTGTAAATTAATTGAAATTGATACCGACTCATAGTAAAATAATTTTTCCATTTTTTAAAAAAAAACATGTATATAATAATATAAGGAGTTAAACGTTGAAATCATATTATCTTGTAAAATTACGATTAATAAATATGTCTAATTGTTATAGCAAGTTAAGTATTTAAGTATTTTTTTTTTAAGTATTTTTCATTTATTACTGAAAATTACATGATGTAGAGTTAATGAAGTTACATACAGTAACAGTTTTGTTTCTAAAAATATTTTGTATTTGAATTATTTCAGAAACAAAATAATTTCTTGTTATAAATTATAATTAATAATAAAATCAACAGTATTATTTAAAATAATAAAATATATTCAAAATATTAAACGTTGAAATTTTGGAAATCTTTAAAATTTTGGAAATCTTTCTTTTTTGGAAATCTATTAAAAACTGAGTTTTTCAATAATTGATTCAATTCTTACCACTGCGATTTGTTGATGATCACAGCTAAGGTATGAATCACTGGAAATATTATACTCTCAAAATCAAATGACAACTCCCGTCAAAGCTTCGCATTTCATTGAGTTTTTGTTTGATTCTCATTTTTGTACCATTTACTGATGATTTTACTGTATTCAAATTTAGTAGTAGTAGCGGAAAACAGTAAATTTTTAATTCCAATTTATGTTATTAGAAACCACGTACATACGCTCAATGAATTTAAAAATTCAACAGGAAAGTTCAAAATATCCGCACTTATATATGAGTATTTTTCCTTTTTGGAGTTAAAATGACAGAACTCAAAATATTATCGATTCAAAATATTTAAAATATTAAAAATTATTCATTAATTCACAATGTCTAATGAGTAAAATTTACTGGAAGTCTCCATATAATAAAAACTATTTTACCACCAACGTTTAGATCATCTAATAATCGATTAATGGTCGTCAAAGCCATTGAGTGGGCACATAGTTATGTTTCAATTACAATCAAGGAAGCGGATTTAAGTTCTTTGCATTGGAAATGGTAATTTGAATATATTATGCAATATTCGACCATTAATAAATAGAGTTCAACCATTTCTGCTAAATGAATAATATGAACTAAATTAATTAAAAGTAAATTGTGAATGAGAGCTCTTTGAACAAAAGTCTTTTCACAATCAATTTTGCATTAAATTGATCCATAAAAGCAAAATGTTGTACATGCAACGGCTTTGAAAGACTTATTGTTCGCACAATGTTTTATGCAACATGAATATGTTTTTTAATTTAAGTAAAGCCAAATTGACTAAATTATTTTCGTAATGCTAATGCATCTCATCTTCATAAGTTTTCAAATTAACAAAATTCGTGCGATCATGTAAATGTAATAATAATAAATGAAAGAATTCAATATTTTCCGGTGTAACATCATATAACGGTGAAATGTCTTTTCACTCCAAGTTTACGCATTTGTTATATCTTTTAATTTTCAATCCAATGTTGGATACAAGAAAATTGCAATCAAGCTTCATTTTAGCATATCTTTGATAATGAATTGTTGAAATTAAAATTCCAAATAACCAACAAAGAACCAACAAAACGTCTACTCAAAAAACTATTGAATTTTCCAATTTGAAATTCATCATTAATTTGCGCATAAATAAGTACCGATGGTAAAACTACTCTTCATCCTACAGTAGAGTAATCATTATCATCATTATCAGATGCAAATTCAAGAAATTAGTTAAAATATTATATAGATCTCAGCACGAGTTTTATTTGATTACTATAAATAGTTGTTTTTTTTTGGTATTTTTGAATATGAATTTATAAACCAAACTAAAACTAATGTGAACTGATTATACATGCCACCTACAATTTTCATTTAAAAATAAGAGCAGATAAATCTAAAACACACACGTTTAAAAGGTGATTTACCATTTTTACGCTATTAAATATTCTTAAAATGCACACTTCTTAATACCCTAATTTAATAACTTATACACTTTACATTATAGCTGAAATTTAACTTGAAGCCAAAAGTTAAAATTCTGTAGTTTTGAATTTACTTCTTTAAATTTTTATAGAAAAGAAAAATAATTTGTTTTTTTTTTTTCTCGCACATTCCTTAACAAATCTTTAACATTTTTTACATGAACATTTCTATTATTTCAAGAAATTTTTGTTTCAATTTAATTTGAAATTTTATTTCACAACATAAAATCATGTTACCAATAAATAAAAAATATCATGAGGGCGGCGCCTAATGTGAAAGAATCGAACCGCTCTAATATAAAAAAATTCTTTTTTGAAGTCCTCAACTCTCTTGAAGCACCTAAACGTTTTGGCACCTTAGTTGAATTGGTTCAAGCTATTTACCGACCGTATTGTGTAAACAATAGGTAGGTTATGTGATGGCAACAAATTTTGCATATCGAGTTTTCGGTGGGAACGTACTTCTCCATAGTAGGGAAGTGTAAATAAACTATTTTTAGCAACCTGTCGGTCTGTCGGTCTGTCCGTCTGTCGGTCTGTCGGTCTGTCGGTCTGTGTGTGCACGCGTGTATCTCAAGTTCGGCTGAACCGATTTTGATGAAATTTTATATGTAAGTTTGTTTCCACCATGGCACGGATCGATCAAGTTTTGGTATATATCAGGCCTCGGGAACTGCACTTTCTAGCGGGCCTGTTTTACATTTTTGAACATTTTGAAGAAAATATTCAACCGATTTACTTGAAATTTCATATATAAGCTTTGCTCGATCATACGCAAAAATTCCTAACTTTTGGAAGAAATCAGGCTTCAACAATAATTAACCGATTTCATTGAAATTTAATATATGAATTCCCCGTATTAAAACAATGAAAATGTAAATTTTTTGGAAAGATCAGGCATCGGCAACTAGACGTTTACTACGGGCCAAACATACACTTTTGTGTATATAAAGAGAAATAATCAACCGATTTCATTGAAATTTAATATATTATTCCTCATATTAAAGCAATGAACATATAACTTTTTTGGAAAGATCAGGGCTCGAGAACTGATTTGCGGGCCGATTTTACATTTTTCACCACATCCACAGAACAAATTGATGGAATTTCTTGAAATTTGATATTTGAGTTCTGGTTGTTACCGAAACTAACTGGTGAGCATTTCAGGGAATATGCTTCGGGTAGCACAAAGCGAAACTCTACTAAGAGCCAAATTTACATTTTTCTAAGTATGTTAACTATAAGCTTACTAATGTCCTAAAAATTGGAAAGAAGTATTTAACAGACATTTTTATAATATTCTGTAACACTTTCATTTAACTAGACAATACACAATGCGGTCGGTTATGTGCTGACCACATCAGATTTTTTTGACTTTTAATTACCTCTTGATAAATATATAACCAGTACTAGTTATGTGTGCTTATATTGCAAGCTAGTACTAGTTATATTAGCATAGTTTTCGAAATTTTTTGAAATTATAAACCAGATTAATCTATATTTAAAACAAGTAAAAACTTTTCAGTCGGTCCAAATTGACTGAATTATACCCTGCATTTTGTCAATCTGAGCATAAAGACTTGTTTTTAAAATATTTAGAATTAGTTTTCAATAGTTACTAGAAGAGTTACACAAACCTGTCGGACCATTTAACAAAAACTTCAGGGTTATGTCTGACCTATTATTGGACCCATTACTGCCAAGATTCATGAATCTAACCTTACTATTTTTTTAAATATGTAAAATTAAGTACGCAACAATTTGAAATTAATTTGCCAAGCCATCCCAAAAAAAATTCAAGGATTTGTAGTACCTATAACTAGACACCTGACTGCCAGGTCTTATAAATCTAACATTATTATTTTTCTGAATATGTAAAATTAGCTTTTGGAGTTGCATGGCAATTACCTGAACCCGTTGTTAGGTTTAGGTAAATAGGTTTTGACCAATTCGAACTGACACAACAAGCGGACGGACATGTCCAAATCAACGCAGAATTTTACGCTGAGCAAGATTGTCATGTCGATACCGCAGATGAATCCTTCAAATGGTTACAAACTCTTTAGTACAATATTTATTATAGACTACAACTTCACGAAAGTGCAGGGTGTAATAAATATTAAAATGCATTACATATAATTCTCTAGTAAATATTTCGTTGTTACATAACTTGATACCTTATAAAAAATCAAGGCCGGGACACTGCTTTTTTTATAAATGGATTTGTTAAAATTGCATGTATTTTTAAAACAAGAAAAAATTATTCTGAAGAATCATTTTTTTTTGTTGTTTTTCTGGAAAAAATTATGATTTTTGCCTATTTTCATTTCGAGATTTCTATGACTAAAACCTAAACATTTTTATACAAATGAAATTTGATATTTTCTGAGCAATGTATCAAAAATTCAAATTTTAATGATTCGAAATTGAAATTGAAATTGAATTCGAAATGAAAATTTTAACTCGAACTGGACACACCATTGCCAAATTCCATGAATCTAACTGTATTATTTTCCCAAATAATTAAAATTTGTTTTTGGAGTTGTATGGCAGCTACCCGAAACAGTCCAGGCCTTCCAATAAACCTTCCTTCAGAACATATGTAAAATGTAATTGGACACAATTTTGCAAAATTTGATATTAATATCTCTTCTAGTTTTTTAAATATTTAAAAAAAACCTCTTTGAGTTCTATGCAGATACCCGAACTCGGTGTCCCATTTGGTCCAATTACAATAGCAGCCGTACTTGGCAGAAAAGAAGTTAGTTGTTTTTGGGTTATCAAATTTTGAGAAAGTTAATAAAAATTTTATTAGATTTTAATTTACGTTAGAATTTAAGTTTGTAATTATTTGATTTTAAGTTTTATAATTATCACAGTGCTTTTATAATTTTGTAATCATTACAAAAATGCATCGTTTCAAGTTGCCCTCTATAAAAACGAA